CCCCCAAAACCCCAAAACCCCAAAACCCCTAATTAAAGACTGGGTGTTGAATAATATAATTTCTAGGCAATCATGGGAACAACGTGATGAAATCAATGCAAAACGGAAAACATCTCTGTAAGTGAGAGACTAAGACATTACTCTAGGATGATAAATTTTACCCAAAGAAAAGAGTCAATTCTACTAGAGAGAAGTCTCTAGCTGATATAAAAGTCCCTCCTCCTCAAAGTCATGGTACTTAATTTATCTAAATATGCTATTGGAATTTTTATTTTCTCGCTCATTCCAGATTTCAACCTTATGTAGGTATTAAGTCTCGAGGAGTAAAAGTTGATATCAATGTTAATATAATCACAAATGTGGTTGGCAAACGGAAATCTCAAGATCCAATACATACAGAGATAATGAAAGGAAAAAGAATTTCTATGATATCATCAAAGCCTCCTAAAATTTATTGTACGAATGAGGCAGATGAGAAGCAAAAATATGACCTAGGAGAGGAGGAAGAGATCAAAATGAGCAAGCCATCTGTATCAGACTCTTCTTCCAGCGATTCTAGCTCTGAGTACAATATTCACCAAGCATCCTTGCCAAAGATTAAAGTAAGCAAGTGAGAAGAGAACAAAGAAGAAATTATGATTAAGAAATAGATCTAATGCGAAGGTGAAATTTGACCCTAAAAATCTTCTCAAAGAGAAAGGCTCTAACCTAGAAGATAACTATGAGTTCTGAGGGAAGCTTGGCAAAGGTACTTATGGTGAGGTCCTTAAACTTCGGCATATAATAACTGGTGAGTATCGGGCTTGAAAATCCTTTATTAAAGCTAATTATAAATCTGAGAAAATTTCCCTACTTTACAATGAAGTCAGGATCTTAAAAATGATGGACCACCCAAACATTGTCAAGGTTTATGATTACTATGAAGATTCAGACAGATTTCATATAGTGATGGAATATTGAGAAGGAGGAGAACTATTTGAATACTTCTCTAAATCTGGGGCCTTTACAGAAGACATGGCATCTCATATTATGAAACAAATCTTATCAGCTATTGCTTATCTGCATTCTCAGAATATCATTCACTCTGACTTGAAAGCAGAGAATATTATGTTTTATTATAAATAATGATGATGATCTTCATGTAAAGTTGATAGATTTTGGAATGGCTACAAAATATGAGGAGAAAAAATCTCGCATTTGAGGAACACCTTATTACATTGCTCCAGAGGTGTTAAAGAATTTTTACGACTCAAAGGCTGATATATGGAGCCTAGGAGTCTTGATCTACATCTTGCTGGTTGGAATACCTCCTTTCAAAGCTGCATCTCTCAAAGAGGTATTTAAATAAGATTCTGCAGGGAAAAGTAGACTTCAATAATAAGACTTGCCAGAGCCTCTCAGAAGACTCTATCGAATTTATTAAGCAATTACTAACATATGATCCTGCTGAGCGTCCCTCTGCTGCAGAGTGCTTGAAGCTTCCTTGGATCAAGAATCAGTCACAAGAGAGAAAGGAGAAAAGTAAGATATCAACATTGGTCATAAAGAACCTTAAAAAATTTACCTCAGAAAGAAAGCTAGAAATAGCCGTTATTTCATACATTGCTAACTTTGTCGCAAGCAGTCAAAATAACCAGGTAATGAGAGACACTTTCCAGATGCTTGATAAAGACAATGACGGAGTGCTTTCGAAACAAGAGCTCATTAATGGCTTGACCAAGGTTTTTGGCAAACAAGCCTTTCTTCACGAAGAAATCGACCAGCTCTTAGATAATATAGATCTCAATGGGAATGGAGTTATTGATTACTCTGAATTTGTGACAGCCACCTCAGATTATCAAAAATTATGTACTGAAAAATAACCTCAAGACTGCCTTTGATAAATTCGATCTAGATGGAAATGGCGAGATCACATTAGACGAGCTCAGGGAGGTGCTTTGAGGAGACGAAGATGATGAAGACATTAGAAACTTAATCAAAAAGGTCGATAAAAATGGGGATGGCCAAATCAATTTTGAAGAATTCAAAGATATGATGCTTACGTTACAATATATCAAAAGGAACTCAATGGTTTCTCCAGAAATAGGAAAGGGCATCAACTCTTCACTAGGAGTGACTGCTTTACTAGAAAATAGGAGGGTCTCTATGTTCTAAGTATTTTCAATTTGTTATTCTGAAAATTCATACTTAACTCGTTTCAATAATTTTTTCTTCATAAGGGGTTTTGGGGTTTTGGGGTTTTGGGGTTTTGGGG